GGCGACCAATGTGTCTGTGTGTGTGTCTTGTGTGTGTATCTGTGTCTGTGTGTGTGTGTGTGTGTGTGTGTGTGTGTAGCTGTCGTTGGCATGGGTTCCAGCTACTTGTGCAGCCCCATTAAAGTTTTTATTGTTAACTTAAGCATGGCGTTGGCAAAACTTCAAACCTAAGCGGTGGCAATTATTAGTGAAGTTTTAAACATGCTTCATAGATTTTTTTTGTCGTCGTCGTCGTCGTCGTCGTCGTGTGGTCTACTCAGTGGCGATGAACGAACAATTAGGTATACAAACACTCATTCATACACACACGAGTAAGTATGTACATAGTTAGTAGTATGTAGATCGAATGGAAAAAGTCAAGTTTGGATGGATTGACAGGCGCAATGTACGAGTATATTCGAGTAGTATATTAAAATAATAAAAAAAAATGTGTGCGTTGCTTTTCATATTATATAACACACGAGTACATCTGGTAACAAAGAGGTTTTGGTTTTGCATAATTTTTAGTTCACTGTTGTTAGCTCATCATTGAGAGATTTTATTCAACATTTAATCATTTTTTGGAATAGAATAATTAGAAGTTCATTTCGACAAGCAAAGCAGGTTTAATTGTCAGCGTTCGCATATTTATTGCATTTCTTTTGGGAACGTGTTATAGACTATTTAGTATGTCTACCCCCCTGTGGTTACAACCAAGCCAAGCAAATGTTATGCAACATTTTTGCGTGTAAAACTCAAGTATTTACCAGCCCTTTGCTTGCTCCAACACACTCGTTATATGTCTGTGAAGAATTGCTTTAAGAAGACCGACAATGTATGCTGCATGTGGTCCAATCTAACGTTTCAATTCTTCAGGGAAAGACTTTCTCGTTCGGCTGCCTTTCAATCGACCACACACTCACTTGGCCCGTCAGCAAAGAGTCAACTCTTTTTCTGCATCAGTTCTTGCTGGGCCTTTCACGCCATGCAGTTATGGTGCTTACCTGGCATTTATATATTGCACCTACAACTCAACCTTTCATTCAACTGCCCACTCTCGTCTCATAATAATAATAATAATAATAATAATAATAACAACAACGATAACAACGACAACAACGGATAAAAAAGCCAGTGGCTCAAAACCAACCAAGTCAACCACTCAATCAACGTTCAGCTGCTCTGCCAACTTGAAGCCAAATCAGCTGCTACTGTTCACTATTCAAGGTGGTAAATGGCCAGGGGAAGGCCCGACTGGGCTGCAACTGCGACTGCGAATGAGGCACAGGCACAGGCACAGGCAGAGGCTGCGGTTGCCTTCTTGGCTTCTTCTTGTCTTCCAGATACAGGTACCGTCCACCGACAACAACCATCAGTTGGCGGTGACGATGATGACGATGATGACGATGCCCGTCTCATCTCATCTCGTCTCGTTTATTAATTTGGCATGTGACAAATTATGCGTTGGCCAGCAATTAGAACTGAAGTCAACAGACAACTTTGAGGCTTCTTCGGTTACTCTTGCACGGCTCTTATTATTGTGGGTCTCTCAGTCTTGGTCGCGAGCATTTAGCGCTGATTTAACAAAATTTTGCAGCCAGACACGTACAAAAGCTTCGATCTGGCCATGCCAGGCCCAGGCCCAGGCCCAGACTGAGGCTGAGACCTGGACCAGGCCTGGTCGACAATGATGTGGACATGGTACATGAACGAGGACGACGATGAGCGTCAACAGACGACAAGTGGCACTTTAGCGCATTAAGAAAATCTGTACAAGTGTCATTTTGGCACACACAGCCTCAGTCTCAGCGTCAGCCTCAGCATCAGCCAGAGCCACAGCCACAGTTGGCAGTCGGTAGTCGGCACTCCGAGTATAGTATTCGAGTCGAGTCGAGTAGAATTATAACGCCAACGTTGGCCAGCCGTGGCCAGGCAGGCAAATGCAATTTTACTACACAACAAGGATTATAAATTTGAGCAGCAGCTAGGCTTCAGCTACAGCTACAGCTACAGCTTCTGCTGCAGCGATTGTGGCTTGTTTAATCACTTTTCATTTAAGCAGCAGCACCAGCAGCGAAAGCAGCGACGCCAGCAGCAGCGGCAGCGGCAGCAGCAGAGACGATGAACGAAAAAAAGAATACTGAAATTTGTCCAGTCATCGGCATTATTTAATGAGTTGCCAACAGGTTGCTGGCCAGGCCAAGCAACCAACCAGAAAATCAGCCAGCACCAGCACCAGCATTGGAGGCCCGACTCTTGGACTCGGACATTTGCTGAGTCAGCGCCGCAAACAGAAGCCAACAGGCCAGTCGACGCGTCAGTCAGCGCGTCAGCAAAGGCTGAGGCTGAAGCTGAAGCAGAGACAGGAACAGAAACAGAAACAGGGACAGACACAGTTACAGAATTCCGAATCAACCGGCAACCTACGCCTGATGCCTGGTGGCAACTTCCTTGTGAGCCTGCGCCTCCGCCTGCCCCAAAGTGTCATGTAAATGCAACTTGCTCGGCGCTCCTCTCCTCCCCCTCGCCAATGCCCCCAAACGCTGTTGCACTTGACTTTACCGCGTCTCTGACACGACCACTACCCGTACCTCTGCCGCAGCCGCAGCTGCAGCGTGTAATGTCAATTTGACAGACAAACTGTCGACCGTTTAAGGCGAATGCAGCTACTGGCTACTGGCTACTGTCTACCAACTTGACCAACTTGACCAACATGCCCAATCGTCCAGCGATTATGATTTGTTTGATTCGGTTGCGCTACGGCCGTAAGTGTGTAGTCTCCGAGTTTCAAGATGTGTGGGCGTTTCAAAGAGCACTTTAATCAACAATCAGTAATTCATTGAATCGCTGCTATTCATAGCTGCGATCGATAATCGTTTGATAGGTAGGCAAGATAATTTGTAGATTTTCTTCAAATCAGAACTCTACGCGTCAGATGTCTACACTTAATCAACCAATAGTTACACAGAAAGTACGCTAGATGGCGCAAACACTTTACTCACCATAGCATATTTTTGGAATGAAGGAGTCTTATTTTTTTAAATACAGGTAGGACAAGACCTAAACCTTTTCATGTTATGCATAAACACACATATACGAACATATCATAAAAAAAATTAACAGACCACTAGCTGCTTTTCAGTAATCAAGTTATACTTCTTGGAGGTGACAATAGAAGAAGAATTTTATTACAATCATGATAAACTTTAATTCCATTACTGATTACCAATAAAGATTAATGAAGATCCTGAGCTAAAAGAATATATTCTTTCTGAAGCTGTGCCTTCGTACCCCTACTTGTCTTTGAGCATTTTTTTGTGATAGATATTTAGCTTATTTAACGATCAGCTCGGAAGGATAAGTGCTTTAGTATCACGCATTAAAGATTTATGTGGAATGACCCATGTAAGAAGAGCTTCACTTATTTTCATATAAAATAAGTGATAGCTTCCACACATTTCATATAGAGAAGAGAAAACTGATGATTATGGGGAACATATGTATGCAGAATATTGTCGTTGCTGCTCATGGTATTTGTGGGAGCGGAAAGTCTCTCCTCCTGCCCGCCAGCTACTTCAACTTGAGGCGCAACTTCACCTCGAAGGCAGAGTGCCACTTCACATGCTTAGGCACGTAGATTACACTTGTACATACTGTGTATGTTTGTGCGTACATATGTCTGGATATACATACATATGTATGTATGTATGTATCTTAGGATTTGTGAGTATAGCCCGCACTGGCATCTACAGCATTCAATAAGGAATTTTTGCGATTTTTATCTTGAGGCTGCCGCGCGCGTTCCGCTCGCCGCCTTTTATTCTTCATTTTTTCTTAATACTTATAATTGATTAAAAAGAAAATTTCCATGGCATTTATGTCTACCACGCCACTCACATACAATGTCGAGTTGTTGACAGCCGAGGCGTCGTAATCGCAGTCGCAGTCGCCGTCGCAGCCGCAGTCACTGCCGACGTCAGCGTTCAGCGACGCTTACGTTGGCATCGCAGTAGCCACGCGTTCCATGGAAGTAGTTGTCGAAATGTTTTTATTTGTTATCGATTAATCGCTTGAATCAACAGGCAGCAGTGTTTTCTTATTGTTTGCATGTTTCGCCTTCTGCTTGGCTGTCGAGTATCTCACAGATGCACACACACACACACACACACACACATCTGGACGAGTATCTTTTGCATGCGCGTTCTGCGGCCGCTCTTATGAAAATCTTGCTGTGTAATTGTTTTGAAGTTTGCCTCAAAGATGGGTAGCAAACAGGCAACCGGACGCATGACTCGCCCAGCCACCGTAGCCGTACCCGTACCCCCACCAGTACCCCTACCCGAGGCGAAACCCAAACTGAAGCCCACTGTCCAAGTCCAAGTCCAACCCCTACTCCATGAGATTTGCGTGGTCTTGTCAAATGGTGATTGATCGATTGTTTGCACACGTTTTTATGAGCTTTCGTCTCATTTGATGCCGCCCGTGCTCTCGAGCGTATTTATTGAGTATTTTATTAATTTTAACTGATCGATGAGCTTGGACCAACTGCTGGTTCTGCCAACTGAAAGCTGGACTGGCCAGCAACAGTTGCTGGTGGTGCTGGTGGCTGTTGCCGTCGCCGTTGTCGTTGCCGTTGCCGGTACTTAATCAATTGTATCAAGTGAAGTGCATTGCAATTTGAAGGCGTGACAAAAGCAGCCCACGATCGAAAACGAATGCTGGACCTGTAAAGTAGACTAACGAATACCCTACCCTGCCCTCACTCACATAAAAGAACATGATTCTTGTTGGGAACTGTACTTTCCCAGTTCCCACTAACAACATATTATATTGGATACATTTTAGGCCTAGGTTAGGCAATGCTGATATTTTTAAAAATACTTGTATATTGATGTTACATATACTGTGTACCCCATTTAGATTGATGGTGTTCCCACTTGAGCCCTCTATTCCCCTGTTAACTTTAGCTTAACTTTTGCTCTTGAGCTTGGGCTAATACTTTTGTGGAGAAGGTGCTTACATTTCAAATGCGCATTTCCTTTATTGGTCTGGAGGTTGTACTTGTATAAGTATGTGTATGTGCCCTTTACAATACCGATAAATTTTGAATAACTCATATATAGATCAAATCAATGAACACTACATATGTATAAGAAGCTAGACCGATTAATCAAGTCTTGCGCTAAAAATAAACTTGACTCACTTCGATGGAAACCAATACGTGTTGCTATCTACTTGTATGTATGTTCAGGCCTCTTTTGCGTCACTTGACTTGGGCGACAGGTCATGATAAGTTGGATAGCGACTCAAAGTTGGTGGCGGTGATCGGAGGATGCCCAGCTCCTTGGCACGTTGCAGCATCGGTGGCATATCATTTTTGTCCACCTTCATTTTGCTTGTGTGCTCCAAGAACCACTTCGCCTCTTCTTGCATCTGGGCTTGAGCACGCGCCTTGAACGAGGCCCTGGCCTGGCGCAGTTGTGGGGGCACATATTTCTCCACACTTGGTGGTGGGATCGCTGGCAATGTCGATGGTGATGGTAATGGTGATGGTGATGCCGATGTAGAAGGGATTGGCGGTGTAGTCCCGTAGACTGAAACCAACTCAGAGACATCAGTGGTGCGGCGCCAGGATTTCATTTTGGGCCTATCTAAGCTTTCCTTGAAATAGTCATCATAGTCATCGACTTCAATGCCATCCAACAAGTCCTCCTCTTCGAACGCATGCTCGTCTATATCGATGTAGTCTTCATCCAAGCCACCGCCGCTGAGTCCGAAGCTTATGCCACCGCACATGAAATCCAACATTTCATTTGGTTCGAACTTGGCCTTTGGGCGGCTGACCCTTCGCTCGGTTCGCTTCTTCGGTACGCGCCTGATGCCTGCCGACAATTTGGATTGCTCAAAGGGTATGGGGCGCAGTTTTTTTCGCAGCTTACGCAGACGCAAATAATTAATGGGCTTCTGTGGCATCTCGATGGTGATTGTGGCGCAGTACTTGCCCCCCATCCAAGTGGTTTCCTCAGTGGTTGTCTCCATGTTGGGGTAATGGTGGAAGCGTTTCGTCATTGGGCGCACTAACATGCCGCAATTATAAAAGCGACGATCGTAGCCCACAGCGCCCTCACATGACTCATCACCGCCTCCGGCAGCGCCAGCGATTCGCTCCTGCGCTTCCTGTGCACGTTTCTTGATTATAGGCAAGGCATCCTCGAATATTTTGCGCTGTGTTTGCAGCCATGGCTTCCTGCCAGTCCAAAGAAACGGTACACAGAAGGTAAAGGCCTCTCCGCTCAGTTTAATGGGCGGGCGAAAGATATCTGGATGTGGTACATCCCTGAGAGCGCGCATCAAATCCAGTGCTCGGGTCGAAGGATCTACTGCATCAGCAGGAATTATCCAGACACCATACTTACCATCGGAATTATCTAATGGTTCCGATTTCTCTTTTGATTCAACCATTCGCTCCTTGTCAAAGGACCAACGACGCACTGACTCCGCAAGCTCCTCAACCGTAATCAGATTGTATTCTTCGGATTCTTCGAACCAGGTCGTTGGACGCATAGTGCGCGGCTTACGTTTGATTTTAACTGTGCGACCCATCTACTCCAATGTACGCAAAAATGTAACTCTATTGCAACACCAAAATACATAAAACCAAAAACATAGACTATAATAAATATATATGTATATATAATATCTGCTGGGCGACTTTTGAAACACCTCTCTAAGTGGAAATGTCAAGGGTTACTAAATGAATACAATCTCTAAAAAAGTATACATAAAATTGTATTTTTCTCAACTGAGAATATTTTATTTAAAATCCTTTTCGAGACCTTTCGAAGGGGCCGGATAGTTAGCATAACATGATGAATGTAATATAATAGTGAAGAGCTGCCATTGAAATAACACGTAGCCTGTCAATATTTCCAAGCTAAGTATACGAGCTACGTACATACATATACAGGGTGCGCCATCTTTTATGTCGGTATGTAAATATTGAATAACTTTGTCATTTGTGAACCGATTGGCTTGAGTAGACCAGTGTTGAAAACCTCAGTTCAAGAAATTGTACAGAACCAAATTAAATAAAAATATCTCATACTTGAAAATCGGTTGTTTATTTTCAAAGATATTCAATGTTTACATACCGACATAAAAGATGGCGCACCCTATATAAAAACGTTAAAGGAGTTATTCAGAATTAACGAATCATTGGGTTTATAGCTTTCACATAGATATTCAATATTGATTAATCTTATAATATAATAATAATGTGATCAATATTAAATAATGCTGAAGAGGTACCATGATTTGAAATTAAGAAAAATATGGTAATAAAATTGAAATAATTAAATACATATTAAGTTTTATCAAATAATTTTAAAAGGTGGAAATCAATATATTAATTATTATATTTAAAAGCTAATAGCATAAGAGACTAAGAGAAGAATTTAAAAGAATGATTTAATGGACTTATGTACATATACCCCATATATGGTCTGTATGGGAAAATCGTGGTGCACTTCTCCAAGTGGCACAATAAATACCATGGATAGATATAAAAGATTAAAGATTTGGTTGAAATATCAAGCTACAGGGGATAATTGAAGCAACACTATCGAATCAGTGAAATGTTTGGCCCGCAAAGATCGATTTATTGTCGATCTGCTATTTTTTTCTGGGTGTATGCTAATGTGGTCTGTCTGTAGGTATGTATGGTTGTGTGTAAGTATGTCAACCCACTCCGGCGTGCCAGTGCGACATTGTCGCGCCCAAGACGCTACGAAAACGCGGACAAAACGTATTAAATACAAATTTCCTGGTAATAAAACAGAAACGTAGCAATGGCCCAAAACGGTTGGTGCACAGGGTGGGGGGGAGTGGGGGGACTGTGTGCTGCCAAATAAAGAAATAAATCTTAACGCCCAAGAGACAGACGGAGCCTGGTGGGGAGACGGAGACGGAGGCGAATGAGTTAACTGAGTGACGTGTCTTCGTCGTCGTCGTCGCCGTCGCCGTCGCCGTTTCCCATCGACAACTGAAGGCGTCGCTTTTTAATACAAGTATAACATTTGTTGTTGTTTTTGTTGTTATTATTGCTGCCATTGTTGTTGTTGTTGGTGTTGCTTGCCCGCTTTTTATAGTTACTTTTGTGTATTTCTTGTATCAGCGTGTAAATCTCGCTCACACACACACACACACATACAGCCCCTCAAGCCGCCGATACCGTAGACCTTAGCTTCAATATCGGTCGCAGCCTCAACTTCAGTTCCAGTTCCAGCGTCAGCTTCAGCTTCAGCCAAACTCGACAAAATTTTTATTGGAAATCTGTACGCAGAAGTAGTCACCAGCCTCGTCATCATCGTCAGCATCATCATCATCATAAACATCATCAGGGGCAACGGCAACGGCAGGCCGCATCGTTCCTCAGCAGTTTGTGTATTTTTTGTTCACTCTTCCCTCTTCCCAGATGCATATCGCAACGCGTTGGCAATAAAAATATATATGAGCTGTTGATGACTGCATATAAAATTATTCGAAAAACAAAAGCAGCGACAACCCAAAGAATTAAAAACCCTTCAGTGTGATATATGCCGCTGATGCTCGCTGCCTCTGCCTCTGCCTCAGCTTCTGCTTCTGCTTCTGCAGCATCGAGAGCCACCAAAAAGTGGGTGAGCACTGGAGACTGCTACCATCCTTGAGCTGCCACAACATAAATGGAGCAATCCCTGACAATATGCTGGCACAGTAGTCAGCCGTACATAATCGTAATTTATTTTTGGAAATTGGAAATTCGATTAGGGAATGCTTCGCATATACTTGTAGCACCAGTACGTTTTGTGTGAAATTGTGAAAGTTCGTTGCTCAGTTTAGGACTCGACTATATTGCAATAATGGAGAATGGACTTCTTTTCTTTTCCAACACAGGCGACCATGTCGTTTCTTGGATTGAATGCAACATCCCAGAGTTTTAAGGCTCCCTCTGACCCATAGGTCTGTTGGCACCTGTTGAAGCGCACATCCCAGAGCTTGACGGTGCCGTCGGAGCTGCCGCTTACAAAATACTTGCCATCTGGAGAGGCGTCCACCGAAACGACGGCAGCAGCATGTTTCGGAGTGGTTGCCTCCACCACTCCATGGGGCATATTGACTATCTTAATGGTGTGGTCTTCGCAGGCGATCAGCAAATGGCGACCCAGAGGATCAAAACAAAGGCGCCGTATGGTTTTCCTGAAATCCAGCTGGAGTGAGATCTTTTTGGTGTCGGCATCGAAAATTGTGAGGATGCCATTATCGTCACCGGTAGCCACAAAACACTCATCCTTCGTCACATCCAATCCCATTACGTTGCTCGGCTTCCTTGTATCGTAGGTTTCCAAAAGCGCGCCTTGCTCCGACCCGTACTTGTGTACTTTTCCGTCTCCGGTGCCCCCATACAACCAATCGCTGCGGCCACCGAAGGCAGTTGACCAAAAATTAGGTGCCAAAGTATGCGAAACACTAGGCATCTTTACGCCGTCCAAAACGTCCAGTAAGTACATGGAGCCATCGAGTGCGACCGCCGTAAAGGTGGTGTTATCGGGAGCCAGGGCAACGTCATGTACCCCCATTCCGGGTAGCCTATGGTAGAACTCGACAGTTTCGTGGCTTTTGTTACGGCGCAGCAAAGACAGTATGGAAATCTTTCTTTGGAAGCCTCCATAAATGAGAAACTCCTTCACCTCACCAGCATCGCCAGCTCCAAATGCTTCGTAATTTGCTTCGGGGTCAGCACGCTGCGCTGTTGGGGACAAAATTGCACCAGGTCCTTCCCCCCACACACAACATAGATTGGCTGTATTCATAATTTGTATCATAGCTCCTCCTGCGATTCGTTTTATTTTCAAATTTGATACGAGCCTTTCTTGGCAGCAAGGAAAAGGCTGCTTGACCGATAGGTCGGAATTATATCGAAAACTATACTCAAACGAATGGTCAGCTCTGTTCCAAATTTGTTTTTGCAGCCGAGTGGGCAGCTTGTTAAACAATTGGGGTATTTTGTAAGTGGAATCACATTACACGGCAGACTAGTAGGACGGAGCTGACTTTGGTAAAGGAGCGCAGGCATATTGGTGTTGTTGATTCTCAAAGAGCAGTCCAAAACAAGTCTAAGAAGCCTCAACAAATATTAGGAACTATTCTTATCATTTTGTGCAACATCTCCAATAATTGAGAAACTGGATTTGCGTGCTATCTCCAATTGATTGTTTTTATATTGTTTTGATCTGCCGTAGATCTATTGACACTCTTATACAAGTATGCTCTATTTCTTTCTTTCCTTCTCTGAGTAACATAGACCATTTACGAATTCGGTAAATGGACAAGTGGACAAGCAGATGATATGGTCACACACTTAATCAGAAGATGACACAATTTTTGCACATTACGTCAGTTTATGAGAATATCTTTTCCGATTGTGGATTCTGTACGCCACTTGCCAGTTATTCGGAATAATGGAAATGCGAGCACCTTTAATTGCCATAATTTTCAATACGAGTAGCAACAAAAGGCGAAACAAAGACAAAACACAAAAAACAAAGGAATAAAGAAACGGCAACCAAATGGCAACTGAAAGCTCAGATAAGTGTCTGTGCGAGTGTGTGTGCCGATTTCCTGAAATCAAATCTAGCAAATCAGACCCAGACCAAAACCAAACAAAAAACCAGGCCGATGCTTAAACTGATGTCTGTCTCTATAGCAGTTTATGGGAAGAGGGGCACGGCGGCAAAAGCTAAATGGGGAATTTGTCATCGTGATGCACCGGCTTAGGGTGGCCAGGGGGGCTCGAGGTGGGTCTGAGGAGCGGACGCACAAAGAGTGTGCCATCAATATGGCAAGTGACGACAACAAACGCAATAGTCGTGGCGGCAAACTTAGAAATGACTGAGTGAGCCGGCATTGAACAGCAACACTAAAACAACAACAACAACAACAGAGCCAAACAGCAAGACCATCCAAGCAGGCAGATACTATGAGCTTAGCTCGATATCACTAGAGATGAGCGACAGTTACATAAGCACCTGGGAAAAATGTAAGCAATTTCTTACAGTTCACAAATTACAAGAATCTTCTAGCCAGTTGACAAAATAGATGATGGTTTGGTCAAGTCCAATCGAAACAAAAACATACTTTTATGAATTGATCTGAAAGATTTTTGAAGAACGTAGATATATACTGACCATATCTCTCTACTGGTTGGAATATTAATTTCCTTCTTTAATTTGTGATCTCGATTTCTTCGCAATTATTAATTAACTGCAAGTATGTATAACAAACGAACTGGCAATTCCTGACATAATTGGGAATTATATATAACCTCTTAAAAACATACATTTATAAATTGATCGGAAAGACATCGCAGCTATATGTGAATATATAAATGATTAATTTATTGATAAGTGTATTGTTTTACTTTTCTATTTTGCGATACCTAATATGAATCTCTGAGTATGGTATTTAATCCATCGGATTGATCTTTAATCTTTATATACGACAGATCGAAAACTAATGTAGATATTTTGCAACAATCTTTTCAAAAAGAAAAGACGTATACTGCTTAATTAAGCTGGAGTCTAGGCTACACCTATTGCTCATCTCTAGGGGACTGATTCGCCCCCTGCATCCCATCCGGCCTTGTAGGTGGTGCTCCAGTAGTCGTTGCCCGACTAACTGCGCTGCTGTTTGGCAGCTCGCTAAATACTATACATACAAACATACACATGGGTATATGCCAAGCATGTAAGTATAGTATGTACATACATACGTGTACATGGGTGTACAATTACCTTAACGCATCGACAATTATACGAATGGTTGGCCGCCGCCTCACAATGGCCAGAACTTGGTGGGGCTACGTCAAGCCACTGCCGGCTGCCGGCTGTCGACCGCTTGTCCCCTCGTCCGGTCGTCCGCTCGTCCGCCAATGTGCCCCGGCCATGTCATCAGGTGCGATATGCGATACGCGTTTTTAAGGTAGTCGTTGCCAGACATCGGAGCAAGACAATTGCGGCGTTGCGACTGGGCGCCCAAGAAGATTGCCGCCACCGTACAGTGCCAGAAAAAAGCGAAGCGAACGCCCCAAAAACACTTTGGCCCGGTCTGAGGGTCTAATGGTGGGGTGTGCTGCGGATTGAGAATGGAAATGGGAACGGGACATAGACCGGGAGCGTCGTAGTGCTTGCAACAAGCAATTTGGGGGCGTTGCGAAGGCTGTTAGCGGTATTGACACCGCCGTCGTCGTAGTCGTCATCATCGTCATCATCGTCGTTGCCAACGCGTGAGCGTCTTCTTATTGCTTTGTGGTTTTAATTATAAAGGCACAGTGGGTCTGGGCATAGGACAAACCATTTAATGCGTTGCATATATGTATGTACGAGTATATATTGCATATTTAAGCATAAATAAAATAATAGTAAGTCTCAAGAGATTTTTGAAAGCATAAGATTTTATTAAGCTTGATTCTTAAGTGCCTGAAGTTTCAGTTTCAGAAGTTTCATCAAAATCAGAGCTCCATTTCATATAAGGGGAACGATCGCTCTATAAATCAAGCTTAGTACCAAGAAAATTGTTGTTTGTAACAATTCCTTTAGCTAATTTGGTATTAGGGCTTCTAAAGAGGTAACACATCTAATAAACATATTTCTTTCGATATCGTACACACAATATCTTGTTGGCTCTCTTGGAAGCTGTAGATAACAGTTGTATACAAGTATACTAAAATATTATTAAATATTTTACCTTGTACGCATGCCAGTTCGTCTTTAATTATAAGCATAAGCTTTATTGAAGATATTATTAAGATTTTGCTGGCCTATGAAGTCAAAGAGCGGGTGTCAAGAAAGTATTAAGAACTAATTGCTGTTTTATGAAAAGTTAGAGAACGCTAGATGGTCCGTAAATCTACTCTACCTAGTTGTTGGAGTCTTTTCTTTGTTATACCCTGTACCCAAAAGGGTAAAAGGGTATATTACAAGTAGTTTTGTGCGAGTGTACATGGAACACACAGAAGGAGGCCTGGCAGACCCCACAAAGTATATATATTCTTGATCAGGATGACAACTCCCGTAATTCTTAGAATTTTGAACTAAAATTTAAGTTAATGATTATATATCCGTATACCAAGTTTCATTACGATAGGTTGATTAGAAAGAAAGAAAGTTATAGCCCTATAACCAGGCCCAAGCTGTGTCCGCAGCTGTATTTGTTGCTGCTTTGACATAATTATGTAATGCACGATTCTGATGTAAATGTAAATGTACAAGTATGTATGGACTATTTTATATTTAATGTAAATAATTAATTAAGTTAATCAAATTTTGATAATACATTTTTTTTGTGGGGTGGTACAGGGTATTCAAGAGTTGAGCCTGCCCGACTTTAGCATTCCTTTCTTGTTTTTTGACTATCCAATAGGTTGAGGCAATTGTAGCTGACGACCGTTAGACATTTGAGCGTCATTGATTTACGAGCCCAGCCACCTTGTGCCACTGTGCAGTGATTTTGACGGGGCTTCGCAGACCGACAAAGGCGAACGAACGAACGTCCGTCTCCCGACCGACCAACCGACCGACCGACCGGGAGCGACTGCTTAACTATGCCCTTAAGTCATGGGCGGCTTGGTGTGTTGTGAGGAGGGGTGTTCGAGGGGGGAGATGTCGTGAAGGGCACTTCACATACATAAATATGGTATGTATGCGTTTAGATTGGATTAAATCGTATTGAAAACTTTGCGCCCAGCCAAAAAATGTGCCGAAAGATGCGCAATATCCCCATACGAATGCATAAGTATACTATAGATATGTATATGTATGTACACATGCATATGTACGTATGTGTGTGCGATGGGGGAGGGGAGGGGAGGGGACGGCGGTAGTGGAAGTTGAAGTTGAAGTCGTGGGGTCGCGAGCAAAAGGATGCAGGCTCTATTTACTTTTTAATTGGCAAAATTAATGCAATGCAATGAAATGAAGCCCGAGCTCAAGTTGAAGTTAAGGCCGAGGCTGAGGCTGACATGCCATGCCAACGGCACTTTGACGCACTCTTCTTCATTGTTGTTGTTGTTGTAGTCACATTTGGTTTGGCTTCGGTTATTGCTATTACTTTGTCTTGTTGTTTTTGTATATTTATGTTTTTATGTTGTTGTTATTCTTAGAAATTCAATTTTCAACTTGAAACTGCCGCCGGTTGCCGGCCGCCTGCTCCACAAGTGATTAAGTGAAGACAACAACAACAACAGCAGCACTAGTACCAGAGGAAGGGGCAACCTTTGGGGCACATGCAAAAAGAGGAAAGAAAAAAACAAACCAAGAAACAAATCGACAGCAACACTGTTGGCGGCGCGCGTGTTTTGATCCGAGCAGCAGCGCATTATGGCGATCATGACGATCATCAGTTGATCATGATCAGCGGCACGCCGACGACGACGACGATGGCATTGGCATTGTCATTCAGTCCGTCAGTCTGTCAGTCCGTCAGTCTCTCAGTCAGGCAGTCAGACAGTGCATCAGTCAAGTCAGTCACACATATTGAAATAATTATTATCTGCATTTTGTGATCAACACGCGGAGACTAC